GTCTCGCTATTTCAGATGCATTTAAATTCATTACTATTGTAATTCTGAATTCGGATACATCCGAATCTCCAAATAATCAAAAATTTGTCCGAATTTCTATTCGGAATGAAACAAACTACACATGTGTATGATGCCCAGTACACTCCTGCGGCACACTAGCACTCCTTGCCAAAAGAACAAACCTCAGATGCGCCTGTGTTGTAGTTTACTACTATGTGGTGCATTGTGTCTGTTGCAGAGCATTGGCAGCCCATTCATATAAATATATTGCATTAATGCACTGCACTATGATAGAAATGGCTGAAAGGGGCCTCTCAATCAGTGGTGGTCAACTTTCATCATATAGGGGCCTCAGGTGTGGCCCTCAGCATCACCAAAGAGCCCTACAGAAAATTCAGTTAATATTCAATGACAAAGATAGCAGACACAACAGGATATAGTCAGAGACTGCAGACATGAACACAAGAGACAGTAAGGGACTGTATACATGATACAGGAGATGGTCAAAGGCTACAGACATGATTTAATAGATGGTCAGAGACTGCAGACATTATACAAAAGATGGTCAGAGACTGCAGACATAATATAAGAGATGGTCAGAGACTGCAGACATAATATAAGAGATGGTCAGAGACTGCAGATATGATACAAGAGATGGTCAGAGACTGCACATATGATACAAGAGATGGTCAGAGACTTCAGCCATGATATAAGAGATGGTCAGAGACTTCAGCCATGATGTAAGAGATGGTCAGAAACTTCAGACATGATATAAGAGATGGTTTGAGACTGCAGACATGATATAAGAGATGGTCAGAGACTGCAGACATGATATAAGAGATGGTCAGAGACTGCAGACATGATATAAGATATGGTCAGAGACTGCAGACATGGTACGAGAGATGGTCAGAGACTTCAACCATGATACAAGAGATGGTCAGAGACTTCAGCCATGATACAAGAGATGGTCAGAGACTTCAGACATGATATAAGAGATGGTCAGAGACTGCAGACATGATACAAGAGATGGTCAGAGACTGCATACATGATACAAGAGATGGTCAGAGACTGCAGACATGATACAAGAGATGGTCAGAGACTGCGGACATGGTACAAGATATGGTCAGAGACTACAGACATGATACAAGAGGTTATCAGAGACTGTAGACATGATATAAGAGGTTATCAGAGACTGTAGACATGATATAAGAGGTGATCAGAGACTGCAGACATGATACAAAAGGTGTTCAGAGACTGAAGACATGATACAAGAAGTGATCAGAGACTGTAGACATGATAAAAGAGGAGGTCAGAGACTGCAGACATGATACAAGAGGAGGTCAGAGACTGCAGACATGATACAGGAGATGGTCAGAGACTGCAGACATGATACAGGAGATGGTCAGAGACTGCAGACATGATACAAGATGAGGTCAGAGACTGCAGACATGATACAAAAGGTGTTCAGAGACTGCAGACATGATACAAGAGATGGTCAGAGACTGCAGACATGATACAGGAGATGGTCAGAGACTGCAGACATGATACAAGATGAGGTCAGAGACTGCAGACATGATACAAAAGGTGTTCAGAGACTGCAGACATGATACAAGAGATGGTCAGAGACTGCGGACATGATACAAGAGATGGTCAGAGACTGCGGACATGATACGAGAGAGATGGTCAGAGACTGCAAACATGATACAAGAGATGGTCAGAGACTGCATACATGATACAAGAGATGGTCAGAGACTGCAGACATGATACAAGAGATGGTCAGAGACTGCGGACATAATACAAGAGATGGTCAGAGACTGCGGACATGATACAAGAGATGGTCAGAGACTGCAGACATGATACAAGAGATGGTCAGAGAAATCAAAGACAACAGAGAAGTACCGATTAGTTTCTGTAAGGGACACAAGAAGGTGCAGGCACCAGGGCTGTAACATGTCAGTCTACCCAAAATAGATCCTCAGTTATAGGTGGGATCTGGGGTGTGGAATCACCTGTTAGATCCCTTTATATTCTGGATACTTGTGTGTTGATCTAAACCAGGGGTGTCAAACTGGCGGCCCTCCAGCTGTTGAGAAACTACAAGCCCCATCATGCCTCTGCCTTTGGGGGTCACGCTTGTAACTGTCACTCTTGCAATGCCTCATGGGACTTGTAGTTTGGCAACAGCTGGAGGGCCGCCAGTTTGACACCCGTGATCTAAACAAACATGGCACATTAGACAGGGTGACAACGGAAGAGCACAATTGTAAAAGCCTGAACAAGGACCTGCAGGATAAACTAAAATTGAAATTGAACACCACTGCTAAGAGGTCCAGGTATAACTTTACTCTGATAAAAGTGAGGGGTAAAATCCAAAAACTATCCATCGCGTTTCAGGGGTCCAAGAGCACCACCCTCATCAGGGCTTGATTGACAGCAATGTAAACAAACTAAACATGAACTGAACCAACAATGGTGCTTTCTTCCTGTGTGACTTACAAGCACAAGCAGCTTGGCAGCAGTCAATCCAGCCCTGATGAAGGGGGATGCTCTTGGACCCCAGAAACACGTTGGATACTTTTTGGATTGTCCCCCTAACTTTTATTGTTATAAAGTTGTAATAAAATTGTACCTCAAAGCAGTGGGGTGGCACTTTCAATTTTTGTTACATCACACTACAAGCAAAGAAGACTTTGGAGATCCTCTGTAGAAGCTGCCGGGAACCATATCATTTACCCCAACGGTCACATCGAACACTACTTTGAAATTGTGCGACTTACAGTGAAGTCGCACGATTTCAAAGTCAGATGACATGCTGTTTTCAGGTGCGATTTGCAAGACATCTGACACAGATGTCTATGCAAATCGCACCAAAGGAGTGTATGTACTACTTTAGAAATCGGTGCGGCTCTGACCAAGTAATTGCAGATATAGGGTGCAATTTGGCACGTCATTTGCATCGGCATGCAAATCGCATGCCAATTTGCATCCAGTGTGACCGAGGACTTCCATCAACTTCAGTACTTTAGGATAACACCAGTGAGATAATCCTACGGGTCCAGCTGTATTTTTCCATTTTCCTGCAGGACAGTGTAGTCAGGACTCCTGTTCTTGGACTGTCTGATGCGATTTGGTTCATCTACAGTCAGGCTGAGCATTCCCTTCGATTAGCCAACCATTTTATTTTTTTATTTATTTCAGGTACTTATATAGCGCCATCAATTTACGTAGCGCTTTACATATATATTGTACATTCACATTGTGATAGATATTTTGGACCTACAATATTTTTTAACCACTTCCTGTCCGGACACTTTTACCCCCTTCCTGTCCAGGCCAATTTTCAGCTTTCAGCGCTATCACACTTCTAATGACAATTGCGCGGTCATGCAACACTGTACCCATATGAATTATTTAGCATTTTTTTGAGACAGATAAAACTTTATTTTGGTGGAATTTATTCACCACTGGGATTTTTATTTTATTTTGCTATGTAAATGAAAAAGTCAAAAAATTAAAAAAAAAGTGTTTTTCCTTATAAAATTTTGCAAATAAATAATATTTCCTCATAAATCTTGGCCAAAATTTATTCCGTTATCTTTTTAGTAAAAAAAAAAAATAACCCAAATTAGTTTATAACCAAAAATGATATTTTGTAAACATTTTTTTTTTTTTTATATTATTATTTATGTTTTTTTTTTTTTTTACATACTGTCACCCTAGCAGTACAGTGTCACCATGGTGACACTGTACTACTTGTGGGGGGTGATGAAGATTTTTTTTTTTTTACACTGATTGCTTTTTCACCCATAAAGACTGTAAAAGCAATAATTTCTCCTTCTCTCCGGCTGCATTCTGGCAGCAATTGAGAACTACGGTGTGAGCTGTGATTGGTCACAGCTCGTCACATGCTACAAGACTGTTGTGAATAGCCTTGTACCATGTGACCTCTGTGATCATTCTCAGATTTCACACGTAGTAAGCAATGATGTCAGAAGTGACATCTTGCTTACTACTCTGCATGTGATCACTGATTGGCCAATCAGTGATCACATGATCGAGACCTCGCACAGAGGTCCCGTACGACGATCGGTGTTCCACTGTGTCCAGAGGACACAGCGGGCACCGGATCGCGGTGCTGCGCGCTCCCGGGGAGCACGCACAAGCATGGGGCGGGGAGGCCATTTATATAAACGGCCACCCGACCCTGCAGTGCCACCGTCCAACCGTTTATATACAACAGCCAGACGGGAGGTGGTTAACATTATTGTGAACTTCTGATAGGGGTCTCAATTCCTGAAACTTATTTACCATCTGTTGCATCACCTGAACACCCCCCCTTAGAAGGTTTCCTGTAGAGGTCTATGACAGTAGGGCCATCCAGAGGAATAAGCTCTGGAGTCCTCATTTCGAACACCTCCTAGGGAGTATTGTCATAGACTTTCCTGTGGAAACTGGGTTTTCAAAGGAGGTATGCTTCCCTAGACATTGGCCCATCCGAAATTCCATCTGATGAACTACAGTTGGCCAAAATCTTTCACAAATCACAGAGCCCCCCCTTTGAACAGAAATGGCAAAATACTGGAACCTATTGAAGGGTGTGACTACCTGGAATGGAGGGGGAGGGGTATAAAGGTATGGCATTCTGTCTCTTTGTCCCCTTGCCCCTTTGGAAGACCAGTCATCATGATGTCTGCGTAACGTATTATTCTATGTTTCCTTTCCTGTAGTCTTTCTTTGTATTGGTACAATTCTGTATTTGCATTGTAATATTACTACTTTTATCCCTGGTCATGCGGGATCTCCTGCATGGTAGGGGTTGGGGAAAGACCTGGCAACCTACCCTATAAAAACAATTGCTAAGAGAATTCATGGAAAAAGTCACTTACGAGTGACGGTCCATGCGATCGCCAAGGGTCGGATACACCTGAATGGACAGATAGAGAGAGATTACTACTTTTGAAGTTATACCAGCTACCAGGGCGGACTGACCATTTGGAAACTCGGGTCAGTAGGGGGCCCCATGAGATGCCCCTGGTACCTTTTTCATAGGATTTTTTGAGTTTGGGCAAGGACACAGGGGCCCCATGATCCCCTATTGCCCGGGGGCCCCAGGAGTTGTCAGTCTGCCCCTGCCGGCTACTATTTATTTTGTCATAATGGATTAGTAGTCAGCTTCTTTGCTGTGTAAATAAATGAGATCTTTATTTTTTGCACAGTTGTTATCATTTTCTATTAACATTATTGGTATTAGCCACATGAGGATTGGCTGAATTCATATATAGACAAAAGGTTGTAATCACTTATTACATTTATAATCTTAAATAGAACAAAGTGAATAAGTGGTAAGTGGTAGCAAAACCGCTAAAACAACATCAGTCCCTAACCCTCAACCCTCATCAGTTCCTAACCCTCAAGGGTTGTACAATCTAAGGTCCCTAACTTACATTCATACTTACACATACTAGGGCCAATTTAGACAGGAGCCAATTAACCTACCAGCATGTCTTTGGAGTGTGGGAGGAAACCAGAGTACCCGGAGGAAACCCACACAGGGACAGGGAGAACATGCAAACTCCAGGCAGGTGGTGCCGTGGTTGGGATTTGAACCAGTGACCTGAGTACTGCCAGGCGGAAGTGCTAACCAGGGGCGGACTGACCATTTGAGCACTCGGGCACTGCCCGAGCGCCTGGGGTCACTAGGGGGCCCCATGAGATGTCCCTGGTACCTTTCATTGGCTTTTTCATAGGCTTTTTTGGGTGTGGGCGAGGACACGGGGGCTCCATGATCCCCTATTGCCCGAGGGCCCCATGAGTCAGTCTGCCCCTGGTGCTAATCATTAACAACTGTGCTGCTCCAACCATCTGAAAAGCAAATTCCTGTTCACTTGAAATACCCAACCATGTGCAGATGAAACACATAAACAAGAATTGGCTTTTCACTTTATATAACTGAAATTCCTATTCACCATGTATTGTGTGCAGATTCCAAAATCTTTAGCAATTCAGCCTCAATGTATCTGCACTGTATAGAAATCTGCCATAAAACAAGGACTTTGTCTCCCCCTCATGGTCAAATGTCATATTGCTCATTATCATTTTTCCACTTCCATTTTTCCTTCCACTGCCATCAATTTATTATTATTAAATTATTAGTATAATACAGGATTTCTATATTATTATTATTACATAGGATTTATATCGCGCCAACAGTTTGCTCAGCACTTTACAATATAACGGGAGGCAATACAGCAACAATACAGTTCAATACAAGAGGGATTTGAGGGCCCTGCTCCTTTAACTTTTCTACAGATATTTATTTATTTCAGGTACTTCTATAGCGCCGTCAATTTACGCAGTGCTTTACATATATATTGTACATTCACATCAGTCCCTAACCCTCAAGGGGTGTACAATCCCCCTGAAGGGGTGTACAATGTAGATTGGGGCACCAATTTAGTCCCTTGGACAAGTAGTTTTTTTTTCAAAAAATTTCCACACCCCTGATTCACATCAGTCCCTAACCCTCAAGGGGTGTACAATCTAAGGTCCCTAACTCACATTCATACATACACATACTAGGGACAATTTAGACAGGAGCCAATTAACCTACCAGCATGTCTTTGGAGTGTGAGAGGAAACCGGAGTACCCGGAGGAAACCCACACAGGCACAGGGAGAACATGCAAACTCCAGGCAGGTGGTGCCGTGGCTGGAATATGAACCAACGATCCTAGTACTGCCAGGTGGAAGTGCTAACCATTAGCCACTGTGTTGCCCCATTGACCCTAACTGACAGCACTATATAAGTACATGTAATTAAAGAAATAAATGAAAAATGTTACTATAAGATATTAGTCTGATCCAGCAGAACCTGAAAGCTGACCTGAAATTTGTTCTTTTTAATTTTCTTTCTTAGTTCTGGGAAAAAAAAAAAACCTTAGGCAAAAGTTCTTTGTAAGACTCCCTGTGCCTTTTGGAGTACCTGCTTTCCATAATGGGGTAATCTTGCAGGTGTTTATATTGTCCTGTTGCTTCTGGGGTCCATAAATGCATTAGTAAGTAGTAAAGAATATCAGATGTGTTATTGATGCCCCATGAAATGCGTCATCTTGGATTTTGGGGCGATTAGGAAGCAAAAAGGCCTCATCTATACAGTACAGTGCAAACGTTATCAGCAGGTGTGAAGAAATGCTGCACAGTAAGAATGCTTTCAAAAATATATTTTGTAATTGTTTATTTTTTTTATCAATTTAAGAAATGCAAAGTGATCAAGCAGAAGAAAAACCTAAATCAAATCAATATTTGGTGTGACTACCAGGGGCGGACTGACAACTCATGGGGCCCCCGGGCAATACGGGATCATGGGGCCCCTGTGTCCTTGCCCAAACTCAAAAAAGCCTATGAAAAAGGTACCAGGGGCATCTCATGGGGACCCTACTGACCCCGAGCCCTCAGGCAGTGCCCGAGTTTCCAAATGGTCAGTCCACCCCTGGTGACTACCCTTTAGCTTCAAACCAACATCAATTCTTACACTTCAGCAGGCCATACATAGCCGAATGCCGAACAATTTTTTGATCGAAAATCGAAAACATTGTTTGTTCTGTAATCTGATGGTGCCACCAATGATTTTGAAAATTGGTAGTTTTTTCACAAATTTTACAGCATGCCCAATAAACGAAATGGGGAGGAACCACGAAAAACGAACAGTGTCATTGCCCCACTAACAGAAAAAAATCGGCCGATTATTCTTAGGTCCGATTTTTGAACGAAAAATCGTTTAGAAATCGACCCATGTATGGCCTGCCTTGCACAAAGTCAGGGATTTTGTAAGGTTAGAGTCAGGTGTATGATTAAACAATTATCCCAAGCGGGTGCTAATTATCATCCATTTTATATTTCGGTTGAAACACAGTCATTGACAGAAACAGCTGTGTAAGTACCTTAAAACTGGGTGAGGAACAGCCAAACTCTGCTACTAAGGTGAGGTGATAAAAGATATTTCTCAGGTCATACACCATGGCAAGGCTGAGCACAGCAAGACACAAAGGTAGTTATACTGCATCAGCGAGATCTCTCCCAGGCAAAGATTCTCAAAGGGGTTTCAAGATTTTCTGTTCAAGCTATTTTGAAGAAGCACAAAAAATAGGCGATGTTGAAGACCAAAGTCGCAGAGGTCAGTTAATGAAAGCTTAATGAAGCAGATGCTTATTTCTCTTCAACATCGGAAGATGTCTAGTGTAGCACTTTTCCCCTTGAGAGATGCTGATTTTGAGTCCCTCATTACTTCCTGGACAGCCAGGCAACATGCATTTTCCACTTGCATCCAGAAACAAGAAACAGTCCTTGGGCTTATTATTTTAGTTTTATTAGGGAAATGAACTTGGATAGGGTACAGGGGTTATGGGATGCCCATTTTGATTGCAGAAAAAACTATTTGAGGACAACTTCCTTCTCTAGAAAATGCCAGAACAATGGCAGAGCCAGAACCCTGACAGTCTCTTTAGCAAAGTACAGCAACTTGTAAGTCCCCTAAGTGTAGAATATACCAGCCCGCCTGGCTGTAGTATCTGATCCCAGAACAAGAGATTGAGTAAGCTATGAACTGTCCCCTGAAGACTTTCCAGAACTCGCATCCAGCAGACGTCTCCCTTCTAGGCCCTGGGGGTGTAGAGGTATTCATTGTCCTTGTCCTGCAGCTATGGATAGAACTGCTCTCAAGCCTTTAGCTAGGTTGGTTCCTCTCCAAGCTATGCAGGCTGTCCTTCCCGGTGGACTTCTGGGCAGTCGAGCTCCCTCTTTCAGCTTCCTCCTTCAGCCTCCAGCCCCACTTCTCTGGGGCCCCCTCCCAGGTGGACTGCTGGGCAGTCAAGCTCCCTTTTTCAGCTTCCTCCTTGAGCCTCCCTTCTCTGGTGCCCCCTCCCAGGCTACAGAACAGAACCTCTCAGCGTTCCATCTTCCACCCCGACTCTCCCTGCTGGCCAGGTTCTACCACGTTTACGGGCTCATCTGCCACACTGTCAGGCCTCTTGCCTGGGATTGGTCAGATTCCCATAAATATGCAGATCATCCCCTCCTCACCTCCGCCCACTGACTTCTAGAAGCTTCTCCAAGCTTCTAGAGCATGGGGATGTACTGACCTGTACAGCCCTCCAGCCCTGACCTGAACAAAACCTCTCTGACTAAGCCCAGGCTTTTCTAGCAACTTTTCACCAACTACAGTTGCAAGAAAAGTATGTGAACCCCTTTGAGTTTTGCCATAAAATGTGCTATCATCTAAGTCACAACAATAGAGGAACACAGTCTGCTGAACATAATACTACACAAACATTAGCCAGTGCCATCAGTGCACAGAAAAAGTATGTGAACCTGGCAGAAAACCTCAGTGGGACCCTGCAGGTAATTTTGGACCACCCTCTTCTACTGTCCAGAGAAGACATGGCCAGAAGGACTCTGACAGGGTTGTCAAGCTGTCCATTAAATTGTCCTGTTGCATCACCCAACAGTTTGTAGATTTCAGGCAATTTACGAGATGTCCATGTAAATGTCCATTGGGGATGAACAGTGGGTGTGCCCGTAAAAAAAATCTTGCCTTAGGCCGGTGCTATGGCGTAGTCCTGAAGCTGTCCGGCTGGACTCGACTGTTGGTCAACAAAAATGTTAGTGTGCCAGAGGTGATCACACAGCCAATGGCACCACTTGGCATCATTTTTACATAAATAATTTAGAGCTGCTAAACTTTCTCCATTTGTAAGGGGGACACATGAACATCAAGTGGGAGATCGAGTGCGTCATGAGAGCGAGATAGAATCAGATCAGAGAGTACTTCACCAGGGCTGCTGTCTTGCTTTAAGGGCCGAGGCTCTCCCAATGGCCACAGTTGGAGAGGTGCTGCTCCATCCTCTTCCAGTCGGCCTCTGCTGTCCGCGGATTAGCTCTGGGATGGGCGAAGAAGCTAGGGCCTCACTGCAGTCTGCCTGACTGCTGTGCCTTCCAGTGCAGTCTAGGAGCCAAAAGGATGACACCAAAGCAGAAGCATGGTGCCGGCTCAGCACTGACAAACAGAGGAGACACACCACCAAGCTGAGAAGCGGGACACAACACAGACACAGTGA